AACCTATAATCATTACACTTTTCTCTCACAAAAAAAGCTAAAAAACTCTTCTCACACCAAACTTTTTAGCCCAGGCTAAAATAGTCAAAAAAGTCAACCTACTTCCCAAACGAAGCCAGAGTGTTGCTAATGTACTATAATGCACGGCAGTCCTGCTATGAGGGTTTTTAGAGATATTTTTTTTAATATACTTTTATAATTTAAATTATTCATATTATAAAATTTGTCAAGTATATTATTTATATAAAAAAATTAAGTTAATCAAAAATTGATAATCTCATGATCAATTTCTAATTATTTTAAAAAAAATTATTAAAATTATGTTAACTGTTTATTTTTAAAAAAATAAATGTGCTCTTATCATGAGACTATAGATATTCAATTTACTTAATTTTTTTATATAAATAATTTATCCGACAAATCTTATAATAAGATCGGTTCAAATTATTAAAAAAAAAAAACTCAAAACATGTTCTTAATAAGTCTCACAGCAACTTGCAAGGCACAGCAGAACCCAACTCCCCTCATTCTTGCAGTCTTTTTGATGACTGACTTCATATCATAACCTCAACAAAAAATTCTCTTTGGGACAATTGTCGGTGTCTTGTGTTGTACTCCTGACACGGGGGATAAAAAAATGCATTTGTTGTTGTTGCTTTTTTTTTTTTTTTTTTTGAAAACACATTTGTTGTCCTTAAAATATATATTTTATGTCATTTTTGTTGACATTTTTAATTTTTTTTAATCAGCTTTATTCAATTTGAAATAGATTGTCTAAATCATTAACAGAATAATAATAAAATAATATATTTCTAAAATATAAATTTTGTATCAGTTTTATTCATAAAATATTTATTTGTCACTTTACATCTTAAATGTTGACGAAAGAGATCAAACAAAACCTGACAAACAAATTTAATAAAATCAACACTTAATAACCAAAACTTTTATTTTAGAGACATATAGGCAAATTTTATGATTATTCCATTTAACAACTTAAACTTTTGTTGTAATTGGACTACTAATCTAACTAAAATTTAAAACTTTAGGAAGAAAATTAAAATTTAAAATATTAAGGTAACATTAAATGATTTTATCCATAACAACAATAATAATAGATGAGCTTGTGAACTAGAAAATGCTATTCATGTGGGTGGTGCATGTTCTTGTTTTTCCCTCCACATTGTATTAAAAAAAGAAAGAAAAAATAAATAAATAACTTGTATGTATGATTTTCAGATAATGAGACATAAATGTGAGGGAAAAAAAAGTAAGCTTGGATCTCACACATTTGTCTTATATTTGTGTTCTACTCTATAAATATTTTCTATATTCTGAACATAATTGTATTAAAAAACAAACGGTGGTACTACATGCACCAATTAGTGTACACACTAGTGTACCAACTAGTGGTATAATATTATTTTAACTATATTTATTATACAAGTTACAAATATCCAAAACCATATAAATGATGTCACATCATCTGTTAGTATACTAATGTGTACATTAATTGATTCATATAGTATTATTCAAAAAACTAAGTCTATTTGAACACACAAATTAAGGGATTGTTTGGGATGTTCTAAATAAGTGCACTTTTTGACTTTTTATAAAAAAGTGTGTAGAAAAATAGAAAGCAGATGTTGATTGATATGACCAAAAAAAATAAAAAAATAAAAAGTATGAACTTATTTAGACTTTTCGAACAAGGCCTATGTCTATTTGAACACACAAACATTGACAATCCCAACTTGGCCCAAAAGAGGAGAAAATGGAAAATGAATAAGAAAAAAGACTTTGGGACCCAGAGATTGCGACACATGGGGTCACAAAAAATGGCACATTTTAATTAAACCAAATCAGGCATGCTGTTTCCAGATACCATCCAAACTGTAATTCAAATAATTTTAGAGCTCTTTTGTCTTAGGAAAAAAGAAAAAACAATATCTCATAGCTGGCAATCAAGAGAAAATCTTGCAACAAGATCATGCTCCTTCTGTTTGAGATGAAGATATATTTCAAATAAATCCGATCGCGGATATGAAAGGATTGCGTTGAATTTTGTGCACATAAAATACACTATGCGCAATGCGCATGCATAGAAATGTACACAAAACAGTTGAAAGGTTAATTCAGTTGAAATTCGTTCTCAGTGAGGTGAAAACTACACTTAAAATGAATCTGAACCACCTCAATTTCTCTATGCATATTTTTATGGAAAGATCATATGATAATCATAATCAATGGATTTTATATTGACTAAAATAAAAGAGAGAATTGATTGAGTTTGACCAAGATCTCATCTGACTCCATTTTTAATTAAATAATGCTAGCAACAAACTTGTGCTATGCACTTAATGAATTTTTTTAAATACAAAATATTATAAAATAAAAATAATTAATCGTATTTATTTGAACTCGATAAAATAATTTTTATTCAACAAAAATAGTTCAACAATTTTAAATTAACTATTAAAATTTAATTGTTAAAAACATATCAAATTTCGTTTAGGACTAATATATTTTATATTAGTTAGGTGAATTGTCTACTAAGTATATTTGATATAGAGACATCAACTGGGTTAGGTCAAATTGAACTGAATTACATAGAAAGATTATGTGTCAAATTAACCTTAACACAACATTAGGATTAATATAGCCATCCCGAACCCAACCCTAAAAAGATTTCTAATTATTGAGAAATACCACTTTTCCCATAAATTATAAAACTGTACAAATAGACTCCCTAAACTATTGGCATGCTTCAACTAATACGCTTTTATAGTTTAGGGGGTCTATTTGTACTGTTTTATAGTTTATAGGGAAAAATAATACTTCTCAATATATAGTTTAGGGGTCAATTTATACGTTTTTATAGTTTAGGAGTCAAAGTGATATTTTTGAATAGTTTAGAGGGTCTTCATGTAAATAAACCTAATCATAAATACACCTAAAATGTAAAATTTGTGAAGAAAACCAGAAAAAAAAAAATTATTACAAATGAAAAGGCAAAAAAAAAAAAAAATGACACATTTTTTTATAGTGATTTGTTTTTGGTACTTTCTTTAATTTTTTTTTTCATAAATATCTTAGTTTGGTGTATTTGAAATATGAAAAAAAAATTATTGAAGATTAAAATAAACAAAAACAAAAACACAAAAATAATTTTAAAAAATTAAACCAAACAAATATGATGAGTATATTTTCAATAAAAAAATTTAATTAATTATTAATAATCTTTGTTACATATGTACTTACTACGTAAGAATTAAAATACAATTTTAAAAATCTTTTCATATCGTTTTTCTTAAATTATGTTATCATAATTGCAATATAATATTATTTGAAAATAATTTTCAATTTGGAAAAGGAAACCTACATTTACAAAAGCCAATCCATTAATAATGACTTTACATTTTTTTTAAAAAATTATTTTGATTAATAATGACTTAATAAATTTTCTTTAATTATATTATATTGTTTCCAAGACTAATATGGAAGACAATTTTAGAGAGTTTAAAATTAAAATTAAAATTTATAGTCTAGTTTTCGACAATAATAATAAGACAATGATGTAAAATTTACAATATATATATATATATATCAGAAAGTAAAAAGTAAAAATATTAATCTCTTAGTTTTTAATTTATTTAAAATAATTATGCCTCATAAAATATATGTTAAATCAAACACTTTGACACAAATTGTTAAAAAATATATATGCAAAATTAAACTATTTTTTTAAAAAAAAATATTTAGAAATTGTGTAATCCTAAATATAAAAAAATTAATTTGACTTACTAATTTTGCACAATTTCGCTATACTTAAACTTAATTATGATTGATTTTTAAAATCTACTTAGAGTCATATATAACTTGCTGCTAATAAACAAATTTAAAGCATTTAAAAGTATTCATGAACAGGGTTACAACCTTCACAAAAAAAAAAAAAAAAAGCAACATATTATAGTGAAAACAATTAAAATATTTATTATTAAAAAAAATATAAACACACAATTTTATTTTTATTTTTAAATGTAAATTTTTTACATATTGAATCGTCACAAACACTCCATCATATTTCTCTAAAAAAATTAGAAAAACCCCAAAATATTAACTTTTTTAATAAAGCATATTTACATTTTAGATTCGTTGATGCCACCCTCCTCTCTTGACCCCACAGTTATCACCTAGCCACGAATTCTAAAGAAAAAAATTTGGACATAATCAATAAAAATTAATAAACATTAACTAACCTTCAATATCTCTGCCAAAAGAGTTTAAAAATATTGCGGTGATCAATTGCATGAAATAATATTTTGAGCGATAAACAAGTTTTATATGGTGTGGAAAAAAAAATTGAGACATAATCAATAGAAAATAAGAAATATTAACTAACCTTGAATATCTCTACCAAAAGAGTTTAAAAGTGTTGCGGTGATCTATTGCATAAAATAATATTTTAAGCAATAAGCAAGTTTTATATGGTGTGAAAAAAAATTCTACTTTGTAACAATTAAGATTTTGTATAGAGAGAGAATATATTGGAGGAAAAAAAAGAAGAAAAAATGAATTTTAATATATTATTTTGAATTTTTATAAGCGATAATGGATTTGGACAAAGCAGAAAAGAGTTTTTTTTAACTTTCCTTTTGAAAAACATAAATCATGAAATAATTAGTATTTTTATAATAATTACATTAACGTGTTAGTATTTTTTAAAATTATTTTTAATTCAAAATTTTAGTTTTACTTTTTTTGAAGGACAAAAATTTAGTTGAAACTTTCACAAGTTCCCATCTTCAGGCATTTCTTCATCTAGGTGTTTTCGGTTCAATCTCTCCCTCGAATAGATAGGGTGCCGGATATAGGGCTCAAATTCTAGGTGTAATGAGCAGATTAAAATGAATCTAATAATCACACATTGATATGCACATTTTATGATTTATTTTTAATTTATGAAAATTTGTATGAAGTCATAATTAATGGATTCTATATAAATAAAAGACAGGCTTGATTGAGTTTGACCCAGATCTCATTTGACTCAGAATATAAAATATACTTACATTTTACTTAATTTCATATACCTTTTTCCTTTTCTTTTTTAAATTCCTTCTCAAATCTCTTCAACCAAACACAACTAAATGACCTAATAAATTGATCATGTATCTAAGCAAAAATGAAAAGGAAAAGAAAATACATATCCTCAGTATGCACTTGGTGAAGTATGATTGTTGCCTCGTCAAACCTACTTTAGGTCAATTTTCTCCTCACTAGCCCTTTGAAGAAGTCAAAACTGTAGACACATATATGAAAAACAATTATTGTATTTCCAACGTAAAAATCGTTTAAAATAAATTATATTAAAGAAAAAAAATCTATCAAGACCATAACCAGAGAAATATACCATGCAATGTAAACGAGATACATGAAAGATACCAAGTGTGGATATGCTGGCATTGACAATTGTATTTCCAAAGTAAAAATAGTTTAAAATAAATTATATTAAAAAAAAAAAACATCTATCAAGACCATAATCAGAGAAATACACCATGCAATGTAAACGAGATACATGAAAGATACCAAGTGTGGATATGCTGGCATTGACAATTATTTATAATATATGTTTTCAATGTCTTTTATCATTTTCCATAAGTTTCCAAAATACTTCTGAAATATTTCAATTTCTAAAATGTTTTTGTTCCCAAGCTAACTGAAACAACATAACAAAATGAAATTTTAATCCTTCTCCACATATATAGATAGGCACCGTAACCAGAGCTAGAGCCCCGTTTGTTTCTAGAGTTAGATGATGGGACTGAAACTGGGGCTAGTAGTAAAATGAGATTTAAAAAATTGCATTTGTTTTAAAAAGTAGCCATGAGATTAAGAGTCCCATGAAATTATGAAAGGACCTTAGATGAAAAGACTAGTAAGTGGCCTTGGGGAGGTGATATTCAAAAATAAATCTCTTGAGACTATGAGTTAATTGACTATTTTACCCTTGTGTTTATTGCTAAATTTGTTATAATACTTGGAATGAAGCTCATAATATGGCTCATGTAATATCAAACACAAATAATTGAATAAAATTTAATTGATAGTTGGATTCTTTAATATTTACAAAAAGAGAGAGAGAGAGAGAGAGAGAGTAACATTGAATAAAAATTTATTGATAGTTAGATTCGTTAATATTAAAAATAAATAAATAAATAACATTGAGTGAAAAAAATTTGATAGTTAGATTCTTTAATATTTAAAAAAAAAAATTAAAAGAAGAAGAATAACATTGAGTAAAAATTTATTTATTCTTTAGTTGGCATAAGCCTAAATTTGGTAATAATGCAAAGGGTATTTGTGAAATTTTACATGGTTAATCCCGCTCCTATCTCTCAAAACAAACATGAGCTATTCCTAATTCATTAGTTATCAAACAAACACAATTTTTCTTAATCTCCTCACTAGCAATCCCCTCAACTAACAATTCCCTCAATTTTACCTACGAAAACAAACAGGCCAAAGGGACATAAATAACTGGTCCAGTCCAGGTATTCTCTACCTCTGAAAACAACAAGCCCAAAGGGACATAAATAACTGGTCCAATCCAGGTATTCTCTTTTCAAAAATGGCAACTGAAACCCCACCTGTCAGTAATCAGAGCAAAGGCACAGGCTCAAATAAAGGAGCAAAACAACAAATGCATTGAACAAAGACTTGCAACAATGAGTCATCAAGTGTAGAAGCTGCCAAAAACCTTCACTGATGGATGTATCACATGAGCCTTACCTGGGAACCCTCTGGTTAAAGGAGGACAAACGTGGTCGGCTCATGCGCTGTTCTGAAACTTAGACCATTAATCAAACGGGGAAAAGGGATAAATACACGTATATTTATATTGATTTGTTTGTAACAAAATTAATTATTCTTTGGTTCTGAAATAAAATACAATGAATGTAATAAATAATATATATTAACTAATTCTTTACAAAGCGATTTCGTGGTGTAATCCAAACAAATCCCTGGTTTTTCACTCAAAATGGGTTTAGTGGTTTACCCCAAACAGGAAGCTAGAATGATCTATCCAGTCCGGTTTTGAAAATATTGGGCTCATGGAAGACCAGAAAATGACACTGCAGGAAAGGGGAAAAAAGCAAGAAAAATGACTTGTATATATGGATCGAACAGACCACATATTTGTTCTTTGGTTTGATATATTATAGTTTTCTCCTTAGCTTGGCTGCTATTTATACACATCATGCCATATGAAGCAACATACATGAAATAACCTCACCAAAATGTCACAAGTTCATCAACAAATAATCAAAACAGATGCATATGACAAGGATAATAAATTAGAAGCTTTGGTCAAGTGGGTTTATTGTAAGGGCCAAATTTTTATAGGGTGGCCCAGGACAAGGTGTCCACAGTGGTTCAAGAAACTCCGACAATCCCACCTAATGGATCCTTTGGTTCCCGATTTAGGATCAATCTGCCCAAGAGCCCTTTACAAGTTGACCCTTGGTAGGTAAGCGGGTATGATTCCTGGTTCCCCCCTTCCCATACAATACAATTTAAGATTAAGTTTTTACACACAAACATTATGTTGCTCCATCACTTTCTCAATCATGTTGACTTCATTTTAGCATAATTGCTATCATGCCATAAGTCATAAATATACAAGATCACAAAGAGTATTCGTTTTTTTAATTTTATTTTTATACTTCCATTTGTGTAATTACCCAGTAACTGGAAATATGAGGATGTTTGGTTAGTGCTAACAGAACTAAGCATGCTCATTAAACAGGGACCAAACTGTAATGACAATGTACTCTCTAATGGGAAAATACTATCAAAATGTCATACCTATTGCCATCTGGATGAAGCTCACACATTTGACCGTCTTCACCAACGGCTAATAAATATCCTGAAGACGTTAAGCCCTGCAATTATAAAAAAAAAAAAATATATATTTGGAAAAACTTCATAAATTGGTGAAATATATCCAGTAACAAATACTCAAGGCTGTTAAAAAAATCACTCTCTCTCTCTCTCTATCTCTCTCTCTCTCACACTCATGATTCATGTTTGTAATACGACTGCATTAGGTATGCAAAACTATTCAAAAAGACGTGAATATTTGACCACAAAAAGTAATAATATCGTGTAAGAAACCGTTACTGATTAGCATCTTAAATCATTAGCTCTTATTTCCCTTTCTTTTTTTTTTTATCTATATATAAAAGGCTCTTTCTCCTCATTATTTATTTTAATTATTCAATTATGTCGAGGGGCCATACATAAAACCAACTTTTCCTACTCTGATTCAATATTAAATTGAATACTAAAATAGAAAAACAAAGAGTTCAGATGACTAGAAAACCATGATATCACATGTATGGATATGGTTTATTTCCTTCAAATATTTCAGAAAATAGCAGAACAGATAGTACAGGATTCCATTGGCTATTTTATCTGTATTCATATTTGTAACTAATGCAACAAATATATCTCACCTGAATAGTAACTGTTTTTTCAACAAATCGATCCTCGTCCTTTTCCTGTACAATAACTCTCTGCCCACTGCATGCAAGGGAACAGAAGCATGAACCTTCAATAATTCATTTCCTAATATGTTGCAATAAAAAAGACGACAAATAAATCACAAAATCTTTGTGATTAAATTATAGATCACAAGCATTACTCTCTGTCTCTCTGTCTCTACATGTTCTCAACATTAGAAATATCTATCTTGGTTGAGCAGTGTGATTATGCTCCTGCTTCACATAGTGATTGACGAAACAGAATTGTGAAATTTTTAGACCTTTTTTCATTTGATGGCATTAAATGAGAAGTGGATAAAATTGGTTTGTTTCAATTGATCCATAAACACTTGCACAAGAAGAAAAGAAATTTCATATTCTGTATGCATATATGGCCATCACAACATTATAAAACCTCCTTTTCAGTTTTTTAATCATGATGGACATACCAGCTCACCCTCCAAAGAAGCAGGTGTGCTTATAACTCCTAAGAACACTACAGTGTACAGTGTCAACATTAAAACTGGAGTTAAACAAATATTATCATTTCATTTTTCATCATTTTATTTTAAGGCCCTCGGGGCTTTTTAGTCTCCTACAAAGAAAAGTTATTGGGCATTAATATCGAAGTAGAACTGCACGATGGGTCTTGTTATTGAGTGACCTAAGGGCATTGGTTAACAATGCTTAAAGTGATTGTACATTCTTTACTTTTATAAAGAATGTACAGTTATTTCAAGCATTTTAACAAGTGCCCTTAAGGCATTGTAGAAAAAATAGATGTATTATTGATTGTTGTTGATTGATATTTTGTAGTGTTTACATTGATTCCTATATATAGGAGATGTGAAGTGGAGATGGTAGTGGTAGGTGAGGAGTAGGTGAGTGTAGTAGGTGAGTGTGTGGTAGGTGATGGTAAGTGTGTGGTAGGTGATGGTAAATATTTTAACAGCCCCCCGCAAACTCAAGGAGGATAGAAGGTGGTCAGTGAACCTCAACCAAACACCTCTGGATTTGCTCCGTTGAACTTTTCGATGCGGTCGGTGGAGCAAAAAATGGCGGTGCAAACTGATATTGAGGCCAATCAGTATACTCTGAAGTCATGTGTGGAAACCATGACTGCGGTCACAAACTTGTCGCACCGGCTGCAGAGCAGGACAAATGAGGTGCAACAGTTAAACTCCCAGCTGGCTCTGCTCCAACGCATGTATAAGGATGCGCGAGCAGAGATAAGTGTGCTAAAGACAGAAAACAAGGAGCCGAAGCGGAAGGCCACCGTTATGTTCCGATTTGGAGGTCCGCCATATGCTGCAGTGGAGGAGCAGGGAGTTGTGATCGTGCCCAGTGGAGTGGGAAGCACGGAGGCAACACCGTCAAGGGCCGCTCAGGACGGAGGCAAGAAGAAGAGACCGGCGGCATAGTAGAGAAGAAAAATCCTGCCTGTGGATGTGGTTGTTTTGTTTTGTTTTTTTTTTTTTTTTTTTTTTTTTTTTTTTTGGTGTTGTGTGGAGAACTGTGATCAGGGTTGATCCCTAAGATAAATAAAACTAAGTTGTGGTGCAAATCTGTATAAATTTGGTTTGTGTTTTTTTTGTTTTTTTTTTTTTGTTTTAATATATAGATATATAGGAAAAACGAAAATGATAAAGACGGGGATAAGAAGAAAAAAATAAAGAATTTGGCAAAAGGCTGAGGGACAGGCCATGTGAATGGATTTTTTTTTTTTTTTTTTTTTTTTTTTTTTTAAAAAAAAAAAAAAAAAAAAGAAGATAAAATAAAATAAATAAAAAGGATAGTGGGATGACGGTGTGGTGTGAAAGTGGTGTTGTTTGAATAATAAAAAAATAAAATGGGTCTCTTTAGGGTTGAAAAGTGGACAAAGAGGTGCATGTCCTTGAGTGGAGAGAGGAAGTGGGTTGATTAAAAAAAAATGGTGGGTTTTGCGGAGAGAGAGATGTAAACCGAAGGGAGAGAGAGATCAGTACCCCTCCCCTCCCCTGTGTATGTGTGTGGTCTATATCAGAGAGTGAGTGAGACGGCGGTGGTGGTTGATTCGGGGTTTGCCTCTTTGTTGCTTACTTGATCCTCTACTACACATCTGCTGCGAATTCATACCCGAAGTCATCCAGGAAGACAGGTGCTTGGATGCGATGGAAGAGTTGGCAGTTCCAGGACTGTTAACGGCTTCAAGGGCTCATCTAGTGCAGTTGATGGGCTGGGAAGAGAGATGCTTGAAATGAGATTGTGGGACAAAGTGGACCAGGATGACGACAGAGATAGTGAGCCAGATATAATTGGTGGCGATGGGTGCTGTGCGACGGCGCTGGATCCGTCAAACACTGCTTTCGACGATCTGATGGCGGAAGACGTTGGGAGGGTTTCGGCTTCTGCGGAGAAGATTGGGGGACAAGTGTTGGATGTGACAAAGATTCTCGCGGAGGCGTTCTCTGCTCAGAGAGAGCTTCTCGTCAAGGTCAAGCAAACTCAGAAACCTGACATGGCAGGGTTGGCTGAATTTCTCAAGCCGCTAAATAACATGATAATGAAAGCCAACGCAATGACAGAGGGAAGGTCGGGAAAGAGAGAAAAATCGGAAGTGTGTATTGAGTGTGTATCAGTGTGTATGTCTTGAGTGATGGCAGGGAGATTGAGGTTTGAATTGGTTGAGATCCGGCGGGCGGTCAAGGCAAGGTTGCCCCCCGTCGGAAGGCGAAGAACACCAAGATTTTTAACCTATTGCTCTGATACCATGTAGAAAAAATAGATGTATTATTGATTGTTGTTGATTGATATTTTGTAGTGTTTACATTGATTCCTATATATAGGAGATGTGAAGTGGAGATGGTAGTGGTAGGTGAGGAGTAGGTGAGTGTAGTAGGTGAGTGTGTGGTAGGTGATGGTAAGTGTGTGGTAGGTGATGGTAAATATTTTAACAGGCATTCATAACAAAATTCCAGATATTGTCTCGTGAACATTAATGAAACATTAGTGGCCTCGAAGTCGGTAGATGTCATCAATCGAGTGTAATTAGCCCGGATGAGTAACTTCCTAATACTTTGTGTGGTTTTTAGCTGATGCAAATTTGTACATTCCTTTCCAAAACAATCGTGCACTCCAACAATCAATTGCTTGTCAAACAAATAAATGAAAACTACATAAAAAATTAAGTAAACTAGTATTGGCCAACAATATACAACTACTCACTTTCTGGTGTACACTAGCTACCACTACATATACAGAGCAAATAACTAGCAGTTGAATTATTTTAATTACACTTAAAAAACAAGAAATTACTTTGAATATTAAATTATGATTAGGATATTGAAAAATTAATTTATTGCCAATAAATTTTCTTTTCTAATGAAGTATAACTGAATTACAAGGAGCAACATTCAGAGCAAAATATCTTTAGACCTACGACATGAATTTAAAGCATAGGAGCATATTATGTAAATCAGGAAGTACTTGCCAGTCATCTCAGTACCTACCTGTGTAGCCATGTCTCATAGTACAGCTGCTCAAGAGGTTGAAACCCTGCATGATAGGCGGCAAAAAGCCTTTAAATTATTTCTTCTAAGTAGAACCTTATATAATTACAAAAAAATATGTGGAGTACTAAGATAGACATTGTATACACTTGCTCCCAGAGGAGAGCCAATGTAATGTTGCTAGTACAATGCTAAAAATAATTTGCTGTAAAATCTGATCAATCAATATCTTAAGGGCTTATCAGAATTAAAAAGCAATCCAACGACAGTCCAAAATAAGTCAAATGAAGTGAACATCAGTAGAAGAAAAGAAAATAAACCTCATCGTGTTCTAGTAGACATGTTTTTGGACCTAAATGGCCGAGGGCAATCTGATGGCCACAATTATCTATATGATCCTTAAGACTTTACAAACATCACTATTATTGAGAATATGATATTACCAATTTTAGTCCCATTTAATTACTAGATACAACCTATCGTTAGCATATCGTGCAAAGTGGCTCTTCTAAGACGAATCCAAGTTATAAAGCTTGTGAACCTGAGCGTTTTCCATAGTTGAAAATATGGAGTCAACAAAATAAACAGCTCTATACCATCTTAAGGAGTTAAGAATAATCAATTGTTAACATTGTGGGGTTGGTTGACCAACCTGGAACCAGGTTCTTAGGTTGTCTGGCAAGACCCACACATGCGTCAGCCATGCATAAGCATGAGCCAACCCATGGTGAGATCGAAAGTGTGGAAACACTTCACCATGGGCCAATCCACACTAAGAACGCACTAACCCATTTGAATCTCATGTTAGGAATCCCATGTGCCTGTGAACCAACCATTGCATGCAACGGGCTGGCCTAAGAAGGCAAGTTTTCAAAAAAAACTAGCAGTTAGACTAGCCATTATTTGGGATTATTTAAATACAAAGGCTCCTTCACTTGGTATAGATTGATGAGAGTTAGTTCTTTATACACTCTAAATCACATGTTCTAGAGGTTCCTACCTTATATGCCTGAGTGCGAGCATAAATGTGAAAATGTTTGTAATTATCATTTTTATTCTGATTTTAACTCATCATTTATATATTTAAACCACTAGTGTTAATCTGATTTCAAATTCAAAGAGTTTCCCCATATTTTACTACAGTTAGAGATATGTGAAATCAGTTAAATGACGAGGAATGCCAAGTTGAAGAAAACACTGAATTGCTCATTCAAAACAATGTGCAAAGAGAAAAGAACAAATCCGACATGAAGGAAACAAGGGTTAATTTGAAGATTAAAAATATTATAAAATGGTTATAGGACGGTGATTCACCTTTATCGATGAAAAGATCAAAAAGAGTCTCAAATTTATTAAAGAAGGCTGCAAGAATATCTTCTCTCTGTAGTCGGTATGTAACAGAAGTCAATTTTTGCAACACTGCATTCAAGCATGTTGTAGGCTTTTCATTGTCAATATTCAAGCCTATTCCTGCAAAGACATGGAAGGATCAAAAAATTAGTGATATCTTTAAGCTTATATGCAATCATCAAGGATTATATGAGACATGAATAACTAAGAACCAATTCACTGAATTTAGAAAATAAACATCAGCCAAAATTGCAAATTAGGATGACGAAGAAAGGAAAATCACAAGGTAAGTAGAATCAACATTGGTTAAGACTTGTATTCACGTTCAAAGGGATGAGACCATTACCGGCACTGATATTAAACTTCTTTGATTTATAAGTTGATGTGCACAAAATGCCTCCAACTTTAAGGCCATCCAAGTACAGATCATTTGGCCACTTTATTCTAACATCAAGATGTGGTATGCCCTGAAATAGATTATGTTACCCAAAAAAAAAATTTAATATCACCACCTAACCCTCAATATCAAACATTCACTCCACAATTACCTGTATTGTCAAGACCTTTTTATATATATGTGTATGTGTATGTATTTATGTATGTGTAGATTTATATAAACCACATTATTTTATGGTTTTTGTTGATCTCTACAATTTTTTTTCAAAACGATATTCATATCTAAGATATATGCATCAATACATCTGTACATTTGAAGTGGCTGTATAACTTTTGTTATTGATATTTTATTCCATGGCATCAGAGAGGCAATTGAATTTTGTTTACTACAGCCTGAATTGGTTCTTGTTTAGTTTGTTAGCTTCCCACCACATTACAATTTTTCACTTATTAATTGAAATTTTCAATTAATTATTATTTAGTATGGCATCTATCTGGCTGTATCTTCTGAACCTAAAAGCCTGACTTAGAATTTCTGTATTCAATTTGAATCATAGAATTGTTCTATTGGAATGGAAAAAACTTACATTTTTATGACAAACATCCTTAATTGCCTCTGTCATGGCAAGAGACACTACATACTGTACAATAGGCACCACTCGGCCATCTTCCATTTGTATAGTATATGAAAACAGAAGGCAGCCCCTTGGAGATTCCCACACATTCTTTGACCGACCTGCAAAATCACACATTAGAATAAACTATACAATACTTAGTTCCCAAATTTCCAAAGGTAAATTACATACATGGTCCATAAGTATACCACTTATTTCATTTTGCTTCCTAATCATTAATTTGTATCAATTACATCACTAAACCTAACACATTAATTTAATGTAATCCCTTCCCTTACGTCAGCATCATATCAGGCATTGAAGGACATTAAGGATTTTTTATTTATTTATTTATTTTGGATAAATTAAGGATATATTCATGTGTTTATTACAGCCAAATACTATCAACCAAAGAGTCAAACACGGTATGCATTTGGTTCGCAGTAATAGAGATTTATTTTTGTACATTAAGGATATATATATACATATATATATATATTTTGATAAATTAAGGATATATTAATGTGTTTACTACAGCCAAATACTATCAACCAAAGAGTCAAACATGGTATGCATTTGGTTCTCAGTAATAGAGTGAAATGCTTGGATGTAGTTTTGTTTCGTAAAGTGATGTGCATTTCACTTGTTTCACGGTTCATTTAGGTGGAAAATGGATAAATTCCTCCCAATGTCATTCAAATGCTTGATGTGAGACTGACGTAAGCATTTTTTTTTATGTTTTTAGACAACAATTAGGGTAAGGGCCTACACTGGATTAATGTGTGAAGTTCAAAGAAGCAATTGATATAAATTAAAGATTAAAAACTAAAATGAATTAAGTGATACACTTTAGACACCATACGTATAATTTACCCAAGTTCCAACAACACAACTAATAGAATAACAAGTACATAGTATTTCGAACCTCGCCCTTTGAACTGAACATCAGCAACACACACCGCACCAATAGGAAGCTCGCCGAAATTGCTGCCCAACATATGAAATTCAAAATCAGTAAACAATTTAGAATCCAATAATTCAAAACTTGTACTACTTACTGGGAAACAGCATCATGAGTTGATGGCAACTGCGGAGACCAAATCAAGAATCTTCCAAAGCGAGTAGTTGAAAGACAATTCAAAAATGAATTGTTCCGAAAACAATTTTCTTCAACAGGAATTCTAGTCTCTGAGTGCAAAAGAATCGAAAATTTGTCATTGTCAGGGAGTTTCAGACTGTTATTGTCCTTCAATGATTTAGCCAATTCCTTCTCAGTAGATGATTTTCCAAATAATACCAGAAGACAAGGCGATTGTGAATCCATAGCTGAACAGTTCAATAGAAGTTAGTTTCCTTGTGCATACATATACACACCTATAAACATATATGAGGGAAAAAAATTCAATTTTCACCTAAACTATCACACTTGTTGTATGTCACTTTATACTGAATCATCAATTTAAACGACTACCACTTCAAATTATCGATATTAGTTCATTTTACTCCAAATCTTCAACAAAGTTAATATTTTTAACGTAATATCATGCCTATTAGCACATCAAAAATAACATTTGTACACGCCATTTGCTTAATTTGGTTGTTTTTCGCAGCAATAAGTTTCTACAATTGGTTGTAACTAGTATTCTATATTTTATTGAATATTTTCAAAATAATTACTTGTGTTTATTTGTCTCCTTACTATGGGACAAAGTGAATCAATATACTCAATTAATCATGTGTGTTATATTTGAACAAAAATATAAAACTCGTTAGAATAAATTAATCGTTCAAGAAAAATAAATTCTTCATAGTTTGATGTAAAAATTAAGAGAATAATGATTCAAATTCATAGTTTATACGGTAATTTGAGATAGAAAAGATACCTGAGGCAGCAAATGATACAGATAGGCAGAGAGGCTGCTTCGTACGAGTTGAGAGGAGTGTTGGTGGAGAGAGATGAGGAAGAAATTGGAGCGGAGTTTGAAGAGAGAGAAAGCCGCGGAGGCTGGCGAAGGGCATATATAATTATATGCATATGGCTCAATTTGGCAATAACCTAAAAAAGTCATTTTTTTTTTTAAAACTTTTTAACTTTTTTTAGTAAAAAAAAATTAATTTTTTTTATCAAAAAAAACCAATTTTTTGCCAAAAAAATATCCAAAAAAACCATCAAATTAAAAAATTAATTTTTTACCAACTTCTCAAAACACATATGCGTTTAGGCGTGAAACGTTTTGAACTCCAGAGGTATTTGAATGACGTCATTACACCACCTTTAGGTTATTTTTGCCATTATTTATTAATTTTTGACAAATTATATAGGATAATTCTACTTATACTATTCTTTTATCTCTTTACACCCTCCATCTCATTACACCACTAAAAAAAATTAGATTCTCATTACATCCAATATATTACCAAAACAAACCCTAAGGTAAAAAAATCTTCAAAATCCATCTCTTTACACCCATACTTTTGGAGGGAAAAGAAGGAAAAGAGAACGATGCAGGGAAGAAAACTAGAAAACAACGGCGTAGAGGGGTTCAAACGGCGTGGAGGTGTTCGAACGGCATGGACAATTGAACTCATTCTTCTCATTCGCCAAAGGTAAGTGAAAAAACTCTTCTTTTGTTCTCTACATTGATACACATAGATATGTATATCTATATATATATCATTTATGTCATCATTTTTTGCAAATAAACAATGAATAGCACATTCCCAACATAGCTTTGGTGATTTTGATCTTAGAATTTAATTGGGTTTGTGATTTTTGGTGCTAGTTTTGCATATTGAAGTTTAGATTTTGGTCATTTATTTTATCAGATTTTTGGTCCTTTGTTTTGCCCATTGTCTCTATTTTTTATTTTTTATTTTTTTTAGAGTGATAGTTAAGTGGAAAGGGTTAGAGTTCTGCGGGTAAAGAGCTGCCATAGAAGGTTGTCAGTTGTGGAAAAAATTGAATTTGTGGGTTAGAGTTTTGTGGGTTCTTGGTTTTCATAAATATATTGGCTGGGGTACAAAATTGAGAGTATGTCAAAAGCAATTTTTGGTTTTCAATTGTCAATCTTTAAAGATGGTGGTAATTATTCATCTTTAAGATGTGTAAAGCTATGTTGATTTCTTGGATATTTGATATATGAGGCAGGTTTTACATTGTTCTTCAATTGAGTTCACTAGAAAACTAATCAATTGAGTTTACCCTGAAAGCAACACATTTCCAAACTTAGCTGCTGCTTAAATTTTTTTTCCCTTGTTGTACTTCAAGATCATTAGTCTCAACTTATTTTTCCCCCTCCAAAACTTTGCAAATTGAATTCTTACAATTTGCTTAGTAGAAGTAACTTATGGTACTGCTAATTGTTAGATACACTGTCAGTTGACATATCAGCCCATAGGCCAATTCAGTATATGGCACATCAAGGTATCACCATAGTCTACCACATGTATGTAAGACAACATATTTTATACCAGTACATGCATCAGATTATATGTCTCAATGGTCATTCAAAACTTGGGTAGCTCAAGTAACATCCAAAAGCAAGGTATCCCAAGAAGATTAGATTGTGAGCTTTAAGATACAATAAAGTAGGCATTTAAAAATTAAAAATAAACAGGAAAAACTGGAAACTTGAAATAGAACAATGTAGGCACATTAAAATTATCAATTGCATACTTGCATTACATAGTACAAATCAATAAAGATAAAAGAAAAAAGGAAACAATAGTTAATTATAAATTGTCTCAAGGTAAAGCTATAAGCATGAAATCTGGAACATATTTCTAACCATATCATGACCACATACAACACAAGGAAAGCATAAACACAATGAACAGAAAATTTGAACATCTATCATAACCAACATTCAATAAAGGCAACCTACTTGTAAATTTTTGTCAATTGTAAATTTGAACATCCATCATAACAAATGTTCAATAACAAACAGTGCCCTAAATTGTGCTGATGCAATTTATGCTGATGCAAATTTCCCCTTTACTTAGAAAATTTTATGCTCATGCAATTTTCTTGGGCAAAATTTTATGCTGATGCAATTTCTATGCAAATTATTAAAAGTTACTATTTTGTCCAAGAAATTATGATGGATGTGCTAGGCAAACTTGCATAATTTGTTACCCCTTTATTCCTTAGAATAGTAACTTTTATGTTGATGCAATTTTCTTGGACAAAAAAGTTTGAAATGGTGCCAAGTTTCCCCTTTACTTATCATTTTAATAATTTTTTCTAAAACATCATGTCTTAATAAATCATGTATTTTGCTCTTCTATAATTAGAATTTTTTTCCTTTTCTATACATTTGCACATTCAATTTTTTTTTTTATATTATAAATTGAATGTTATCTATGAAATTATGGTTTCTTTGCTGATATTGTTTTCATCAGTCATCTAATATATTCGAGTTTTTACTGATATTGGGTTTAATGTTTTTTTTACACAGAAATGGTTAATGGTGTCTCATGTAAGAGACTAACGGCATCCAACATAAGACATGCTAGGCAAACAAAACCTGAAGCATTGGAAGTGAATGTCCCTGTGGAAGAGGATGACTATGTGGATGTGAATAATGATTATGTTGACAGCGGTGTTGGTGTGGAGGATGACGATGTCGATAATGATATTGGTGTAGAGGCTAACCTCGTGAAAGACGATGTTGGTGTGGATTATGACAACACAGAACCAGTTCGGGGTGCTCCAGAGGATCCTTCATTGCTAATTAGCTTCCGTAACCATGCTGTTGCTGTTGTTTGGAAGAAAAATATATTTTTTGAATTTCTTAACAATAAACTAATCATATGTACTATATGCTTCAAATTATTTATATGTTTTATGTAAAATGCAGGAACAGGGACCTCTTAAATGTTTGAATCATTCTCGAAAGCTTGCCGAGTGGCCATGGATGTCACCAACACTCGAAAATGCTAAGTGGAGACATTTGGTTAAACAATCTGGTTTTAGTGTCCTTGTTGATCACACATATCGATATGGCGATAGAGTGGCAATATTTGCCTTCATTGAAAGATGGCATCTAGAGACAAATACATTTCACAAGCCATATGGTAAGATGACTGTCACATTGGATGATATACGAACCATACTTGGCATTCCAGTCACTGGCAGGGCTTTGTCATGTCCAAAGTTAACAAGATACGAGGCTGCTGAACTAATGAGTTCCACTTTGGGAGTGCTAATGAATGATGCATTTGCAGAATTAGTTCAATCTTGTGGGCAATCCATGAAGCTAGAGTGGTTAAGAATCAGATTTCATGAAGTTAAAGTTACAGATGATGCAAATTTTATATAATACGCAGCCAAAGCTTACTTACTATATTTATTAGGTTGTACCATCTACGCTAACTAGAGTGGGACTTGAGTACCCGTTGCTTACCTGCACATGTTGGCTGACATTGATGTTGTTAGCTTATATGCATAGGGTGCTGCAATTTTGGCATTCTTGTATAGACAATTAGGACTTGCTAGTAGGGTTGGTGTTAAGCAGATTGTTGGTTACTTGAAGATATTGGAAGCATAGATTTATGAGCATTTTCGTTTAGGAAAGCCTTTGGTAGATTGAATGGTGTATAGTGTCATATTGTAAAAAAAATGACCAAGCCTTTGGTAGATTGCCCTTAGGAAAGCCTTTTTTTTTACATAATGGATCCCACTCATATGTTGAGACTATACAATATGCAATGGATCCCACTCAATGCATTTCAAAAGCCTTTTTTTTTACATATGTTAACCAAACATTTTTTACATATCGTATAGTCTCAACATATTGTTGAGTGGTGTACAGTCTCAACATACTCTTACTATCAAAGCATTTTTTTTACAATATGACACTATCATTGGTGTCATATTTTACAACTAAGATTATGCATTGCCTATTTGTAGATTGAGTGGGATCCATACCATTTGTGTAGGACACACCATCCACCACATGAGGTTGCATATTATGCTGGATGTTTGAAATGCTTTGATATTGTTGAACCCTATCACTTCAATAGCGTTTTGCAACAGTTTGGTAGGGTCCAAATCATCCCACCAGCACTATTATCTCATGTTCGAGCTACACAAGGCAGTAAACCAAGACAGTACAGAATCATGTATCAATACCATGACACGATATGAGCGCAATGAGAGAATCATGTGTTGTCTATTAACGTTAATAGTGTGCCTGTACAGCAGAGCCCATCTGAATGTGTTACGGAGATACCGTCAGTGGTATACTCGTGTTTTGTACCGAGTTGTTCAAAATCCTACGCATCACTCTTAGTTTGATCCACGTGTTCAACGTCCCGAGAATGATATTACTATGGATCCGGAGTAGGTAAGCGAATTGTGAATTAACTTATTTCTCTTTTAAGTGGTTTACCATAAATCAAACACTAAGTATGATTTTTATCAATTTCTTTTCAGTGTAATGATGCTGCTTTCAGTGTTGGTGTTGCAGTCCATAGGCTCGATCGTGATCAGTGTATCTTACACTCTAACATGCTGTATGAAACCATTGGTAAGACGTTGCAAGTTCTTGATGGACAGAGTTTGGGATCTACATCGACACGTACAGAGCATCAAGTCTACTATCGTAAGCATCGTAGGATGGACCGTACATGAGGATTGAGATCTAGTTTTTTTTGATGTCATAGTTATGTATTAACTGTACATGAGAGTTGAGATCTAGTTTTTGTTTGATGTCATCGTTTTTGTGAATGTCTAGCCCTTACAAAGTTTGGGATATACTTTTGTGTTGACCGTACATGAGAGTTGAGATCTAGTTTTTTTTTTTTGATGGCATAGTTTTTGTGAATACCTAGCCCATACAGAGTTTGGGATATACTTTTTTCTAATGGCATAGTTTTTGTGGATGTCTTGGATCTTTGGTAAACTATATGTTTGGTTAGACATATAATGAAGTGTCATACTTTTGTATGAATTTTAAACAATTTCACATCTATTTTGTATTCAATATTTGTATGATGATTTTAATGAAAAATTATTTTGGTGAACATATGTA